GCTTATTGAATGGATCGTTGCTGGAATATTGTCGATTTTTTTTAGATTACTTTTAGAGTTTTTTGCTTTATTTTTTTGTTTTGGGAGGCAAAGGCTTCCTAACATGTGAAGCTGAAAATACTGGGACATGCCCTCTGAAAACGTAAGTTCTGCTAACAAATCCGACTCTCACCTCCCAGAAGGTAGGTAACATAGTTGTCCGCCTGGTGTCTCCTGGGCAACTTACTTAGTAATGCGGTCTCGTTAGTAATGCGGTCTCGTCAGCCGAGTACTCGGCGCTTAATCCGGGTTTCGTTCGTTAGAAAGCTCGCTTGCGGTAAATCCAGAAGCGTCTGACCTAGAATAGGCGGCTCCCTAATCTGCGTCTGATTCCTGAGAGACGGCAGTTTTTGAGTCCTGGCAATAAGTATAAAATACAAACATCATTAATTATTTGTGCAATGGAGAAAACAAAAGGATTTAGTACCCCAGGTGGTAGTCCAACCACGTTGGAGAATCCACCATCTTCGGAGGTCGGATTCTGAAAGAGCTATTTATTGCATTTGATTGATACGTTCAGGAAGAACGCGAAAACCCGGGGTTCACCTCCTACATCTAATGTGCGGATTTTAGAAAAGAATAAAAATATAAAACGTGGACTACCGAACACTCAAGCTCCACAGACTAATAAAAGGCTGTGTGGCTTTGAGAAACGAGGTTCTTCAACTAAGGGCTGACAATGAGAAGCTAAAGAAAGAGAAACATGTGCAAATTACAAACAATAAGTCTAATGATAGCAGTCATAAAGAAAAAGACGCTACACCATAAGCAAAGCAGGTGAGGTCAATCTTAGACGCCCACCCAACAGATGAGGAAGAACTTGCCAGAGAAACAGATTGGATCCCAAAGCAAAAGAGGTCAAGTAACAAAAGAAGGGCCATGAATGGATCTGGACAAGAATGGCATACCTATGAAAAAAGCAGGCCAGACTAATAAAAGTCATGATTAGAAATCTTCATCCTAGTTGTAAACCGGAAGATATAAAAGAAGACTTAAGCTCTAGGGGTTACAAGATCTTATATGTAACCAATAAAATTAAAAAAATAAAAGAAAATGAGAAAAAAATTATGGTGCCTCTACCGCTGTTTATGTTAGCATTCTCAAATGAAGAGGAGATGAAAAAAATTTATGAAATCGAACACATAAACAGGATGAAAGTTAGGATAGAGGCACTTCGAAAGGATAGGACCATTCCGCAGTGTAAAAGGTGTCAAAGGTATGGGCATACACAAAAATTTTTCCAGAGAGAACTGAATTATGTTAAATGTGCAGGCAGGCACTTAACATCAGATTGTAATAAGTCAAAGAGTACTGCAGCAAAGTGTTCCAATTGCTTGAAATCCCACCCAGCAAACTATAGGGGATGCCTTATAGCTAAGGAATTGCAAAAACGTAGAAATAACAACAGCAACTTGAAGAAGAATTCTGACCGGCCACTGAAGAAATTCACCTCGAGAATAGTCTCAAAAGATGTAATATACAAGGACGTTCTCCAAACGAAAACTGATGACGGTGGCACGTGCAATAAGGAAAGGGCCAGTGACGTGAATGTTTTGTATAAAATGCAAAATATGATGCAAAACATGCTAGATGTGATGGACAAAATCTCTCAGAGATTGAAGATTTTAGAAAGCGAAGGGAAAAAATCGAATACCAAGGGTTCTGGTAAATGATGGCGCGAGGTATTTTTAAAATGGCAACATGGAATTGCAATGGTAATGCAAATAAAAAGGACATGCTTGAAGTTTTTCTACATACACAGAAAATAGACGTGTGCCTCGTAACTGAAACACATATGACCTTAAGAAGCCAGATCATAGAATTTACAACTCGAACTACCCTGGAAATATAGCGAAAGGCGGAACGGCGATAATAATAAAAGAAAATATAGTGCGATAGATTTATATTTGGGGGTGACTTTCAAGGCATACTTCAACTAGAGGAAGAGAACTTAGGACAGCAATTGGCGGCGCAGGTTGCCTTTTTTACTCTACTCCGAAGCAAACGTATTGGCCAACCGATCCTAATAAGTGTCCAGATTTAATAGATTTCTTCATAACAAAACGGATTGCAAAAATTTCATCGAGGTACATGATAACTATGGTCTTAACTCCGATCAGTCAGTGGTTATTCTTGAACTTAAGGAAAATATTGTAGTGAAAAGGGCGAGGCCTGCGCTGACAAATGGAACTATAGATTGGTCAAGATTTCGCTTAGAGATTGAACGACAAATAGATCTAAGGAAAAGAATATGAACGAGCCAGCAAATAGATGAGAAGGCCTAAAACTTTACTAAAATTATTCAAAATGCAGCTTGGAGTAGTTCGAAAATTAATGCTATTAGAAACGGAGGTATTAACTATCTCCCACATATGCTAGCAAAAGTAAGACAAAGCAGGCGGGTCAGAAAGAGGTTGCAGCAAATGCGTGATCCTACTGATAAAACCAGATATAATCGTAAATCGCAGCAACTAAGACGTTGTATTAGAAAATAGAAGGAGGATTCGGTTGTCTATTATGTTCAAAACTTGACGTCGTGAGAAAACCAATTACTCACTGTGGAGGGCAACAAAGAAAATGAAGCAACCTATCAAACACCTCGCTCCTATTGAAAACAAAGATGGAACATGGGCAAAAACTGACAAGGACAAGGGAAATGCGTTTGCGGATCATTTGGGTGATATATTCTATCCGCATGACAGACAGGGCGTGTATGAAAATGAGGAATGTGCTTTTGTTGAGGATAGCGTAACTATTCCAATTGCCAAGGAAAGATATGTTATAGAGGAAATCAGGACTCTAAAACCTAAAAACGCCTCAGGATTTGACCTAATAAATGCGTGTACAAGATTTAATTACATGCCTGACATTTGGAAAGTTGCAGAGATAATTATGCTGCACAAACCTGGCAAACCTATAGACAGGACGACTTCTTATAGACCAATCTCATTGTTGCCGATGATTTCAAAACTGCTAGAGAAACTTTTATTGAGAAGACTTCAGCCTATAATTGAAACGAAAAGGTTAATCCCGAATAATCAATTTGTATGAATCATCAGTATGTTGGCCTGCTCGAACCTGACTAATAGGGTATTTCGTGTTAAACAGGAAGAGAAGTACTCTTCGCTTAGGTAGTGACAACAGCTACATTTGCTGTTGATACAGCAGTTATCGCAATAAGACGAAATGAAAATGAATCTACACAAAAATTACAAAAGGCCAGTGACGAGATTTCAAAATGGACTAGAAAGTGAAATATAAAACTTAACGAGGTGAAATCAGTACACGCGAATTTCACTAATAGAAAAATTTACATTTCATTTTCGGTTTAGATAAATGGCGTCTTAATTCCGTCCGAAAACACGGCGAAGTATTTGGGAATGACGTTGGACGCAAAGCTCAGATGGAAGGAGCACATAAAGAAAAAGAGATCTCAACTCGAGGAAGAGTACAGAAAGTTTGAACGGCTTTTGGGAAGTCGTTCTAAGTTGACAATATACAACAAAGTTTTGATATATAATCAGATATTTAAGCCTGTGTGGGCTTACTATATTCAGTAATGGGGCTGCGGTGCGCAGACTCGTATCCAATCTATTCAAAGATTTCAAAATGGGGTATTACGGGACATTGTAAACTTTCTTGGTATGTCCGTATTGCCGATATACACAGGGATCTCACGACCTTAACTGTCACAGACGAAATTAAAAAGCAAGCAGCCAATCATAAAATGCGTTTATCCAATCATGTCAACATCGAGGCGGCTCGATTGGTTGACAATCAAAAGTTGTTAGGAGACTTAAACGTACGAGACCTCTCGAATTAGTTTAATGTTTTTTATCTGGAACAATGAGTACTTAGTACGCTATTGTGCCAGATCAAAAGCTTGTGAATAATCAAAAAGGTTGGAGCCAAATTAATGGTTAGTCGTTTCCGACTAGATTTATAAATTATTTTGAGGAGGATGTTTTTTAGTGGATAAAAGTTCCACACTACTCCTTCTCGTCTGGCAGTGTCTTTCGAGATTTTTCGCCTTTCCTCTCGGTAAAGAAAAAAAAAAATGTTTGTTAATATATTCAAAGCAGATAAATATTAATTTTTTTTAATCTCAAGAGATCAATAGCTCGTACATATTTTATATTTCATATGATACAATTTAAAATTTACACACACATATACATACATATGTTCAATTCAAAATAATTTCAATATATTCTAAATATTAAAAAAGCAGTATAATAAATAAATAAATAATAAATAAAAAGTAAAAACAATAATGGGCAGCACGTAGTACGAGTCGTATTGTAAATGTGCTGCTTAAGATTATAAAAAAGTTCTTTAAACACTTATTTCAAATTCAAAAAAAAATTTAAAACAGACCACAAATAAAAGTTTACTTATAACGTTTAAATTACAAGAGTTGAAATATAAAGTTTCAAGAAACTTTGTGAATTATTTTGCATACTCGTATGAGGAAAAATATAAGTTTGGCTGTATCAAAAGCCAACTTGAAAAGTTTGATGTATTGTGGTACTATTAGATAAAATTCAAATACATATAAAATTTGAAAAAAAAATCAAAGGCGAAAGACAAAAGCAGAAACTAAATTCATATACAAATTTTCATGAAAGTTTCTTGAGCCAAAATTGATCAGACAGATCAATTTTGTTTCGCTACCATGCGTAAGTGCATTCTCGATATGGGAATTTTGGTGCCAGCACATAACCTACTTCATTGTATGTATACAATGATTCTACGTTGTATGCATAAATAAAAGCAAAAACATGAGCAATATAAGTGAATATTTAATGCCAAAAAATTGGTAAATAAAAATAAAAACCTAAAAAACGAAAATCCGAAACATACAATTATTATCACATAAAATTTTAAAAATTCAATTGATCATATTATATGATAACAACAACACGGAAATGAAACAGTGGAAATAGCTAGCTTTAACTTACCCCCAAAATTTGGTCGAAGCCGAACATCATAGGAGTCCAAGATATTTCCTAATATATGTGTAATGTTTTGCAGTCTAACAGTCACTGAACTTTTTTTTCGACAGCTAAAACGAAACATATATAGAAATTGCAATAAGTTAATTTTTAAAAAACTAGCTTCAGGTATAATAAATTTAAATCAAACCAACAGAAACAAACAAAAGAAGCATTCTGCTATTTTTCAACGATCGGGAAGTTTAAAAGAAAAATTATGGTTTGGCACCTGAAAGATCTGAATACATTAATTTTTTATTTTTTCTAGGGCTTGTATTTACTAAACGACATCAAATGAAGCTAAAATTTTGTTTTCTTCTAATTCGAAATTTTTTATTTTTTCAACAAATTCCAAACTATTTTTAACGTACAATGCTTTCGACATTGGGAGTTTCTTAAGTTCACCAACTAACCCTTTCGTTTTTTCATAACATGGCGACTATATGTTAGAAACTATAGACCTCATCTTATTACGTGGCTTATGAATTTTTCTGAGACTATATAATTTCGGCGTTTTAAATCGATAACTTCCACTCTGGTACTTCGAATGTTAAATAAATGTTAGTAATACATTCTTTTGTTGACATTGAGTGTATTTGCTTTCAAGATTTTGAAATTTGCTTCCTTAATCGTCTCCTTCATATTTTTCACATAATCATCTTTATTTAAAATAACTCACGAATTACACTTCTTTCGTATAGAAAACTGGTTTTTATTTTAAAGATTTTATTATGGTCGTTTGATCATCTTTAGCATTTGCTTTCTTATTCAAATTTTCTAGAATATGGTGAGTTTCATTCCTAATTTCTTATTTGATATATAATGTTTTTGATTTTATTGCTGTTTCTACATTTATTACGGTTTGGTGAGTATCAAGATGTTTCGGCGTGGGTGTATAGTTTAAACCCTTATTTAATAGATTTAATACTTTATGCTTCAATGATTTTGTTACTTTATCGGACATCATGTTAAAATATTCAAGCCTATGTATTTTTTAAATGTAAAGAATTTAATTCAAGTTCTATTTTAATTATTTTTGAATAAATATGTTTTCTTTCCAGATTTAAATAAATTTTTTACTTTCACTAATTAATTTTTCAGTTTTATTATTATGCACTGTCCATGTTCTTTTCATGAATTTCGGGAGAACTTCTTTATTTTTACACGATTTCAAAAAATGTAAATCTGCTTTCAAATTTTCAAGTTTTAATTTAAGTCGCATGAGTTTTGTGTATAAAGGCTTGGTTGCCACTGTAACTTTTTATTATTATATTAAATAAAAATTTAATTTTTTGAATTAAAGAACTAATTTTTTTTATTATATTTACAAATTGTAAAACCGATTAATATTAAGAGAAATAATTCCTTTTTTAAATCTTTCATATAAAAAAATTACCTTTTAATGGTTTTACTTTTTTCATAAATTTGTAAAACTAGAGTAAAATCATTTCAAACTAATTTTTACCGACCGTATTGTGTATACAATAGGTAGATTATGTGATGGCAACAAATTTTGTATATCGAGTTTTTTTTCTTTATTTTAATACCAAGAATTAGCTTTCCTGGACGTTGTGGTAGAAAGAAACGATTAAAAACTAGATTTTGATGTATACAGAAAACCTTTAACTACCATCAGATACATAATTAATGACTCATTTACATCGAAATCGATAAAAATGTCAGCATTCCATGACACGATTAATCGTATATGAAATTACCTTTGCCTATTCCTAATTTTATGAAAGGACTATATCATATAAAACAAGCAGCTTCAGTTAATGGTTATAAAACTAATAAAATAGATAAATTAATAAAAAACTATTCTGAAAAAATTAGAAAACGACAACTGTCAACATTCTTCAATACCACAAGAGCCATATTTCAGCAAAGAACAAAATTTAATTACAGTGGCAAAGTTGCAAAAATTAAAAACAGTTTTCAAAAGAAATAATATGTTGATTGTTTTTACAAACAACAACAAACTCAAATATTATGTTGGGAAGTTCTAAAGACAAAATTGAAGAGAATTAAAAGGATGAAATTTATGAAATTACTTGTCCTGATTGTGATGCTAGTTATATACGCCAAACAAAAAGAAAAATAAAAGTACGTTTCAAAGAACATATTTCTTCTATAAAAGACAATAAACCATATTTTCCAACTTTGCACCTGAAACAACCATTAGAATATAACTTTAGAAAATCTTAAATTACTAAAACACATCACAAACAAAAGCGAATTTGACGCTTGAGAAAGTTATTATATACTCGTACATTAAAGAAATACTACACATGATTTAATACATAATAACTCAACGTGAAAATCTCATTTTTTCTTTAGCACTTTTTTCAAAAATATTTTGAAAAAAAAGTGCTTATTAGTTTCACTCCGTCTGTTAGTCCGAACGTTCGTTCGTCCGTCCGTCCGCCCGTCTATCCGTCTGTCCTTCTGTGTGTCTGTTTACGAAGCTTCTACATCCTTGAAGATAGAAAGCTGAAATTTTATATGTACATATCTTTACTAGAAACTTATTTCCGTAGAACAAAATGTTTACCTATCTCCACCCCTCCAAAAGTTATTGCAGTGAAACAATAAGTATTTTTCAAATTTTGCAAAAGCAGAAAAATATTTGCGGGCTTTTTTTATCGCGGCATATTATTTCTGAAATTTAAAAAAACAAAATGGCTGTTAAAATTTACTGTTATCTAAAACCAGTTTTTTCCAAATTTTTAATGCCGTTTTTCTTCTATATTGTACGTTACAGGAGTATGAATAATTTTAGCATCCCTTAAATATTTATAAATAGTTTATTTTGTTAGAAGAAAATAGTTTTGTTGTTATTTTGTTTTATTTGCTAACGGTAAACTCCATCACATTAAAAAATATAATTATTTTTCTTAATTCACACAATTATCTGACCATTGGTGCAGTGGTTATGGCACCGGTCCTTTAACCGAAGGGTCTCGGGTTCAAACCCCGGTCAGGTCACTATAAAAATTATATTCAATATTATTATAACTTAATATACAATACTCGTACTAATAAAAATATTAAATTACAAGTAATTTTCAAATATTCCTAATATTCGATATTAAAAAAAAAAACTAAGAAAAATAAATAGTAAATATTAATAACCTCAAATAATTAATATATAAATAAAAAAACTACGGCAGGCTAGTCATCTACCTAGTTAAACCCTATGACGCTATGAAACTAGTGCATGAGAAATCATGCACTAGCCCTATGCTCCTTCTAGGAGTGAACAAAGGAAAAAAAAAAAAAAAAAAATTCACACAATTAACCCTTAAAAACGAGCATTATGTGAACCCTTCTTTAAATTTATTTTTGCTTTATTTCAAAGACTGCATAAATCGTTCATCCTATATACATGCAATCCTAAAAATAGTTCCGTACTAGAATGAAAATAATTCTAATAGCGTGGTAGGTACACATTAATTGTATTTAAAAGCATAGCATTCTCATTTGTTGAAGATAAAAGTGCTACCCAACTCTTAAATCATATAATTGTTTAATTTCTCTACTTATGTTTTGCCTTTTTTCTCATTTTTCATTAATTTTAAACTTAATAAATAAATTAAAAGTTAACAGAACGTAAACTTATAATAAATTCTAAATGTTAAATTTTAAATGTTAAATTAAAATAAACAAAAAAATCCTTTTTTTATTTAATTTATACATGTGCGGTATATTTACATAATATAATGTTCTTGTTTCTTTTTATTAAATATTTTTGCTAGAAAATGTTAAAATTTGCGGAAACAACAAAAATAAAAGAAAAAAATTTTTTAACATAAAATTTAGTGTGAAACCAACTGAAGATGGTTTATTAAAAATCGAAATGTATTTTGCAATTTATAATAAGAAAAAAATGTAGTTTAAATTGATTTTACTCTAGTATTTCTTTCTAGAGAGACTTAAATACATATACTTATATTTAAGTAATATAATTTATGTAATATAATTAGTAATATCAATCGATTTTACACGGTTTGTAAAAATAATGAAAAAATCTGATGTGATCAGCACATAACCGACCGCAATGTGTATTATCTAGTTAAGTGAAAGTGTTACAGAATATATATAAAAATGCATGTTAAATACTTCTTTCCAATTTTTGGCGCATTAGTAAAGTTAATGTTAACATACCTAGGAAAATGTAAATCTGGCTCTTAGTAAAAAATGTAAAATCGGCCCGTAGACCAATTTCTGAGCCCTAATGTTTCCAAAAAATTTATATGTTCATTGCTTTAATACGAAAAATTTAAATATTAAATTTCTTTAAAATCGGTTAATTATTTCTCTTTATATACGCAAAAATGTATATTTGGCCCATAGTAAACGTCTAGTTGCTGATACCTGATTTCTTCGTAAACGGTCGAGCGCAGCTTATATATGAAATTTCAAGTAAAACGGTTGAATATTTTCTCCAATATGGTCAAAAATGTAAAACAGGACCGCTAAAAAGTTCAGTTCCCGAGTCCGTGCCACAGTCGAAATAAACTTACACATAAAATTATATCAAAATCGGTTCAGCCAAACTTGAGATACACGCATGCACACACAGACCAACAGACCGACAAACTGGCAGGTTGCTAAAATTAGTTTAATTACACTTCCCTACCATGGAGAAGTGCATTCCCACTAAAAACTCGAAATGCAAAATCCGTTGCTATCAGATAACCTACCTATTGTATACACAATGCGGTCGGTAAAAAAATTAATTTTTAAATTCAAAATTTTAAGAAAATTATAGAATAATAAAAATATAAACTGTTAGTTTTTGCATTTAGAAACAAAATCATTTTGTTCTTTTAATTCGTATATATATTATGTTCAAGGAAATTGTAAATTGTTGTATATTCTTGTATTATGATTGCATTATATTTGTTCAATTTTGAAACCTTAGTTAAATTTATTCTCCAATTTTATATTCGATTATTTTATATAATTTAATTAACTTACGTCGTCACACGTCTCCTAATATGTCTCTGAGAGAGAGTTCTCACAAAAAATTATTATAAATTTTATTTTGTTTTTCAAAAACTTTTAAAAGTAAAAAATTTGCGGAAAGTAAATAACATTTTAACAATTTGATACAAATTTTTAGTAAAACTTTAAATATTTATAACATAAACACAATTGTGTACAATAACATATAAAAGTATAGTAGAAAAAGTAATTGCTTTAAATTTGGAGTTAAATATTAAGAATAAATTTTGCGTAAGTACCAAAAATCAACATAATTTTAAATTTGTCATCTTATTACGTTATGTAATCAAATAATAAACTAACCTTGCAACGTTAATAAGAAACGCTATAATTACAATATATCGAAATACATTCATTTGTAATGGAATAAGTTTTGGTCGCAATATGTTTATTTATTATAGTATTTTTCTTATAATTGCTTGTTATTCCTAAATAACTTTGGAAAACTTAAAAACTTAAAGAATTTAAAAATTTACGTAATATTGATTTAATTTACTGATCAGAATTATAATTGATTTTCTTCTTTGAAATACGTTTCGTGATCCAGTTTATTAATAATTTAAAAATATATGAAATTAAGGAGCAAATAAATTAAATATTTGTTATTTTATTTTGAAATTATCCACATTCACTAAATGTCTTAAATATTCTACGTAACAAAAAAAGTGATAAATCAAAGAATTGAAACATGCGTAGTTAAAAGAACATATGTATGTATAGCATTTACAAACACACTGATTGTCAAAAGATACATATGTAGCTTTTGTTTTAAATATTTCAAAGTGGCCATAGTTTTAAATAAGAATTATAGTAAATTTTAAAATTAAAAATAAAAATTAAAATTTTATATGAAGGCTCAAAAAATATAGTGACATGGTTTCATTATTGTTTAACTGAGTAATAATTAATAATAATTAACAATTAATGGTTTTATTATTAATAAATAAAATTATAAATTTATTTTAAATAAACAGTATTCGTTAAAGGTTTTAAAATTTTCTGGGAATGACATATGAACTTAATTTTTTTTATGTTATGTCCAAAGATTCATATAAGTTTGGCAATATAAATGAAAATAAAACGCATTTTACCACTTTAGTTATAACAGATAAAATTTTTAGCAATTTTCCAAAAGAAAATTGAAGAACATGATCAAACTGTACTTTCGTCCGTCGATGTATCTGTTTACAAAACTTGTACATCCATTAAAATAAAACAAGATCTGATGTAGTCAGCAAATAACCGACCGCAATGTGTATTGTCTAGTTAAGTGAAAATGTTACAGAATATTATAAAAATGCGTGTTAAATTCTTTTTTCCAATTTTTAGCGCATTAGTAAGCTTATTGTTAACATACCTAGAGAAATGTTAATTTGGCTCTTAGTAGAGTTTCGGTTTGTGATACCCAAACTCCCTGAAATGCTCACCAGTTAGTTTCGGTAACAACCAGAACTGAAATTTCAAATTTCAAGAAATTCCATCAATTCGTTCCGTAAATAATGGTAAAAAATGTAAAATCGCCCCGCAGACCAGTTTCCGAGCCCTAATGTTTCCAAAAAATTTATATGTTCATAGTTTTAATACGAAAAATTTAAATATTCAATTTCAATGAAACCTGTTGATTACTTCTCTTTATATACGCAAAAATGTATATTTGGCCCGTAGTACTCTTCCACTTGCTGACACCTGATTTCTTCCAAAAGTTAGGGGGTTTCGCAGACGGTTGAGCGAAGCTTATATATGAAATTTCAATTAAATCGGTTAATATTTTCTCCAAAATGATCAAAATTGTAAAACAGGCCCGCTAAAAAATGCATTTCCCGAGGTAGACAATACTATTGTTGTTATTATTATTAATAATAGTAATAATAAAAACAATAATAATAATAATAATAATAATAATAATAATAATAATAATAATAATAATAATAATAATAATAATAATAATAATAATAATAATATTAGAAATAATAATTTTAATAATAATTAATAATAATAATTATAATAATGATAATAAATATAATATTAATAATAAAAATAATAAAAATAATAATAATAATAATATAACTAGAAATAACTCGATATGCAAAATTTATTGCTATCACATAACCAACCTATTACACGATGCGGTTGGCAAGAAGCCTACAAATATGTATATTTTTACTAGAAAATTATTTCTGTAGAAAATTTTTAAATTCTGAAAATGTAGAAAACTTTTCACCTCAATTTTCTTCAGCGATTTATATTACAGAAACTGCAAACTTTTCCAAATACCTGCAAATGAAAAACCTAACGGTAAATTCCATGGGGTAAAAAAAATTATTAACCGTCGAATTTGAACATTATTATAAACGCTTTTTTCTTTTTCCTCATAGATGTATGAAACAATTTGATATACATATATTAGTATGTTATTTAAACAGATACGATTTTTTTTTTTTTTATTTTGAAATATTGTACTCAAAAAGAGCATTAAGCTCGTACAGAGTCTGTTTATAATACATTTTTTATAAACATTTTTTTTAACAATTTAGCGAAAAAAAGATATAATTATAAGTTAAACTGGAAAGTGCAAAAGATTTATAAAAGAAAATCATACATGATACTAAAAATAAAATGAAAATATACTATAATAGAACTAAATTACAATTTACAAAAAGTTAGATTATTTTAGTAAAGAAGGATTATTTTAAAATGTTGTTACATAGTAATGTTAAGAAAAATTTTATATACATATATATATCAATAGATTTCTAAATTTTGTTAAGATAAAAATACTTTGTTGAGTTTTTGAATTACTCTCGATTCATTTGACGAATATTTTCAGGTAACTCGTTATAAAGTTTCGTTGATTTGTTATATATCATTTTCTCACCGTTAAATCTTATAGTCGATGGTTCTAGTTGTATGTTATTTGCTGAACGAGTATTATATTGTGGCTTTCGTGTACAAGTTTGAACTTGTTGTAGGGGAAAATGCTACTTTGCAAAATATGGCTTTGAACCGAATTTATAATTTAATTAATTAATTATATTAAGCTTTAGATACAATGTCAGCAAATTTTATCTTATTCGTTTTTACATCTGGCATACGTTATAAGCTTTTATATAAAAGCATCTTTTACTTCTTCTAGTTTTTTGTTTCTATTTTTATCTTAGGATTTGCATAGTATGGAGATTTCGGACCTTTCATCTGCATGAAATAACATATATAAAAGATAAAAACATGCGCTTTAACTTCTTTCACCCACATGATAATCGTAACATTGAATTTTAACGAATTTGCTTCTAAAAGTAGTTTCGAAAAAATTTTATTAAATTTTATGCCCAAAGTATAAATTAAATTTGAATTAATACATAGATTATGTGCATAAATTATTGATGTAAATAAAAAGATTTATAATCAAACTAAATATTAAAGTGAAAAACATCTGAAAAAAAATATACAACATTTTTCCTTTAAAAGGATTCCAAAAAAAAAAAAGTGAATATGGCATTAAAAGTTTTAAATTTAAAAGAAAAAATTTATTTTGCAAAAATATGGTTTAAATGAAAAAGAAAATTGCTTCATTTTCGCTGTTTGTTTCACTCAAAAATGAAATTAATAAATGTGAATAAAAATATTTTAATTTTATTAATATGTATACATTTTTTTCAATTAGGTAAGAAAAAAAAATTATAAATAATACATGTATATGTATATATTATATTTTTGAAGCTATGAACAAAATATAAAATAATTCCTTCTTTGTAAAACTTATTTTATTGGTACGTACATGCATAATTTCAAATGTTTACATACATATGTGTATTTGTAACGATTTTCATATGATAAGATATTTCTATAACAATAAGTTATTAAAAATCTACAAAACTAAAAATATAACTTTTTTTATTAAAAATATATATTTTCTAATTGAAAAGGCGGTGAATGTTTCGAAAAAATTGCAGTTTCAATTCAGAAGTATCAAAGAAAACTTTATCATTACATTTTGATTTTGTATTTTGTTTGGAGCAATGTTGAATAGTTACAAAAATTGTATAAAAAATCAGGAAGACAAATTAAAGTAAAACCTTTTGCTCTCACGTAATTTTATACTTTTTTAGTGAATAAAAAATAAATTATAAATAGCACGCATAATATGTGCACATATAAATTGTATATATGTATGTATATATATGTATATAAAATATATATACAATTGTGAAAAAATATGTGTATATATATATATATATTATACATATATATATATATGTGCATTTCACATTTGTGTTTGAATTCTGGGAAAAATTATAGTGAAATGTGTGCATATTGTCTACGGTTGAACATACATATAATATAACGTATGAAATACACAAAACCCACGCAAAGAGATTGTTTGTGTCAGAGTTACCAATTTTGTAAATGATTGAAGCAAAAGATTTTATACGTTATAAATATTTTTAGCACTTTTCCAAAAAAATTTTTGAAAAAAGTGCTTATTAGTTTCACTCTGTCCGTCCGTCCGTCCGTCCGTCCGTCCGTCCGTCCGTCCGTCCGTCCGTCCGTCCGTCCGTCCGTGGACACTTTTTTTGTTTACAAAACTTCTACACCCTTCAAGATAGAAAGCTGAAATTTAATACGTACATAGATCTTCACTAGAAACTTATTTCCGTAGAACAAAATTTTTACCTATCTCCCCCCCTCTGGAAGTTATACCCCCCCAAAACCCTAAAAATGGCCTTTTTTAAATATTTGTTGCAATGAAACCATAACCATTTTTGAAATTTTGCAAGCGCAGGAAGGCGGTGGCTTGCTTCCCCTAGCGCGATATACTATAGTTAAATTTTAGAAAAACAAAATGGCCATTCAAATTTACCGTTATCTAAAGTCCTTTTTTTCCAAATTTTTGATGTCGTTTTTCTTCTAGACCCCAGACTGTAGAAGCTTGAAATTTTAGGAGCTTTTAGACATTAACAAATAGTTCATTTCGTTAGAAGAAAATTTTTTTCCATCTCCACCCCCTCTCAAGTTATCACCTCTTGAAATTCGTAAAATTTGAATTTTTGACACCTTATATTTCCGAAACCGCAAGCTTTTCCAAATTTTTATAAACGCAAAAAGCTAACGGTAAATTCCATAAAATTAAAAAATATAATTATTTTTCTTAACTCACACAATTAAACCTTAAAATCGAGCGTTATGTTAACCCCTTTTTTGCTTTATTTCAAAGACTGCATATATGCGTCATCCTAAATATATGCAATCCTAGAAATAGTTTTGTATATGAATGAAAATAATTTTAATAGTGTGATAGCTATACATAGACTGTATTTAAAAGCAGAATTTTCACTTGTTGAAGGGAAAAGTGCTACAATACAAACCATTGGTTTGACCCAACTTTATTTAAAAATGCAATAATATTTCACTTCATGCGCAACGTATTTATGTACATGTATGAGATAATTATGTATTTCTTCTTTTTATAAAAAAAAAACAAATTTTAATTTTCATGCACCTTAATGCACGATTATTTTCAGTGTCAACTTAAGACTAAATTTTGACAAGTATATTATTGTTAGTGAAGCTTTGTTTTAGCAAGACTTCAGTACGGTCGCAAGTTTTAGCAAGACTTCAGT